TGGTTACTCCTGGCTTGTTGGATGTGCTCTTGGGGACTCCATGTAAGAAGTTTGCCTCCCCTGAGATCATTCTGCCATGAAAGAAAGTCATTTGTGCAATCATCTTGTTACCAGTCTCTAGTAGCCCCTGCCAAAGGGCCTGGACGCTGAAGACTGAGGAGGGAGAGTAGATGCTTCAGACATGACTGCTATGTGGCAGGGACATACTCTGTGGCCAAGCTTCTCTTAGACCCCTGACCACAGCCTCTAGGTGAACAGATGGCTGTCACACCATCAGTTAATTATCCAGCAACAGTGACAGGACGAGCCAATTCAGTTCATGTTTACAAAGACAGAACTAAATACCTCTAGCCTTATGCCCTGGGTAAATGCCCTACTGTGCTGGGCCCACCTTGATGCTGAGGTCCCTCAGGTCCATGCAGAAGCCCCAGAGATGCCCTGACATTGTGAGGCACAGATGCTTGGTAGCAGCAGTCAGGACCCCTCATCTGCACATAGTGGAGGTGGGCATCTTTTAAAGTGAAGGCTGACATGCTTTCTCTGTAAAAACGGCTGTGGCTTGGGTTCTGTCATCCCTGACTAGACATCATGGGGCACTGTGGGTTGTAGGCAGAAGTTTCTGTCCCACCAGCAACTCTCAAATACCTGGCAGCCGCTTCCCAAATTACCACACAGAGGCTTGTATTAATTATAAATGCTCAGCTGATAGCTCAGGCTTGTTACTAGCTAACTCTTACACTTAAACCAACCCATATTTTCTATTTATGTTTTGCCACGTGGGTTGTGGCTTATTATCACATTTTTTACACATCCTGCTTATTTGGTGGCTGGCTCCTGACCCCGCCTTCCTTCTTCCCATCATTCTCAGTTTGGCTTTCCCACCTAACTTCCTGCCCAGCTACTGGCCTGTCAGTTTTTTATTAACCAATGAGAGTAATCCATATTCATAGTGTAGAAAAGGATTGTTCCACAGCATTTCCCCCTTTTTGTCTAATTAAAAAGGAAGGTTTTAACCTTAATATAGTACAATTATATACATCAAAAACAGTTACTAAGTAAGAATTACAGTAACACTATCTAATCCATTTGCATTTGGCAAAATTAGAGAAAATACTTAATCTTGGTGAGTCTAGTTTTGTATCTAATTTACTTTCTATTATAACTAAGGAAAACTATAACTATCTACTCTTCAACTCCATCAAAGACCCCAGAAGGGTGAAATGTTATCTAATGACAGGGACATGAGGCTGTCTGGACAGACACCCAAAGTTCCTCTGCAAAGTTGGGGCATCCATCTTTGGTCTATAGGTCTAGCATATCTGACAGACTTTCCTGTGAAGCAGGAAATTTTGAAGGACTGTCCTACTTTGTCTTGGCAAAGTTTGGCAGTCACCTTTCTTGTGTCCTGCTGGTCCAGTTTGGACAGTAACTGTCAGCAATTGAGGCAAGGGCAGTTTCTTTGCCCACATGGCTAGCTTTTGATACAAAGAAAACAAACTCTATATTGAGATTCTTTGATGCCCTTCATCCTCTTTGAATTAATTGGTGCTGTGAGAAACAAACGTGTCTCATTGTCAAAAGCCTAAGTTCTTGAAACATTTAAAATGCCATATTCTGTAGGTCTTTGAAGTGTTTGAAGATTGCCTATCTATCTGAAATACATCTCTGTATGACCTTGAAAACCTAACATGACTATAAGTTTGCTACTATAGATGACTATTAATATGTATTTCTTAATTATATATTTTTAAATGAGCTGCAAAAACACAATACCTTAAACAAGAGCAGAAATATGCATACAGTATAAAATTAACTTTAAATTTGTATCAATAAACCAAAATCCATACTAACACAAAATATTTAAGATTAACAGTTGTTTTTCAGATTAAAGTAGATTCAATATACTATCATTTCTATATTCTCCCTTTTGTTTTTAGAACAAGATCCCTGACTCTAATTTCCTTTGTTTAGCTTTGTTCTTGACCATTATCCATAACAAGTTGTAACTAACCCTCCTAAATGATGACAAACACTTCATAATTTATTTTTTGGGAATGTGGCAGAGTTCTCTAGACCATTTCCTGTTCATTGGGAGTGCTGGTAATGTTTGGGGAACCCTGAGAAAATTTAGGATTATGGTCAAATCTTGACTGGAATATTCTGTGAGGCTGGATTATCTCAGCCAGTAACTCTGAAGTTGTTCTGGATGCAGAACTCAGAGGAAATTGCAACAGTGGCACTCTGAAATGTTGGATCATCCGGGGCATCCGTTCCCAATGGAGATTTTCAGGGGGTCTTCCTCGATCAAACCTGATTTTTCTTAACCCAGAACAAATCCACAGCCTCTCATTTCCTGTGTAAATAAAAGCAGAACTTCTTTCCCAAAGTAACCTATCTTTTGACTTAAATTTTGAAGTCAAGATATTTTTTAAATATATAGGTTGGTTTAATCTAGCAACCTTCATAATCAAATGTCTCTCAGCAGTTATCATCTGTTCATTAGCAGTCAAAAAATTAAAAACAACACAATAACATACACTATCCAGACTATTTTCTATCTTTATGTGGCTTATTTATTACTCTATTCCTTTTTAAAGGACTTTCTCTACCCCTTTTCTATTTTCTCTCAAGCCTACACATTTTTAAACACACTGTGACCCATTTAGAGGCTCTTTTTGTCTGAATCTGTCCTTACTGCACATCTGTAACCTTTTCTGTCTTTAGGAGCAAAAAAACTGCTGTATAACTTAGATCATGGCGTGCTGGCTCTGGCTCCTCCCCCTCAGTTCCCTGAGAGTTTAGTCTTATGGTGGTGGCACGTTTACTGCCAGCTCTGGGAGTCTTGTTTACCGTCCCAACTCTGAGAAGTTTCTAGATCCATGCTGCCACAGAGCAGCATGCTTTTGGCTGCTCAAAAACACCAAATAAGTGTTTGGTGGTCGTGTCTCTTAAAAGAGCTGCCTGTTTTTGCTGCTAGCACCAAGCCAGGAAGTCATCTCTTAAAAGAGCCATGCCTCTGTTCATGGCCAGCAAACAGAGCCCACTGGAGAAGAGGTAGCTACCAGGAAGCCATGCTTGACTCTGTTCTTGTGTGTCTAGAATCCTTTTTAAGCTTTGTCAGGTTTTATGTGGAAATTTCGGCCACATGTTGGAATACCACATGTAAATGGATGTTTCCTGTCCCAACTATCTAGTCCCAAATAACCGACTCAGAGTGAATATGAATTATAAATGCTCAGCCAATAGCTCAGGCTTGTTACTAGCTAACTCTTACAGTTGAATTGACCAATATTTCTATTTATGCTTTGCTATGTGGTTTGCGGCTTACTACCTCCCTTATGTTTTACACGTCCTGCTTGTTCAGTGGCTGGCTGGCCTCCCTTCTGACTCTGCCCTCCTTCTTCCCATCATTCTCAGTTTGGCTTTTCCACCTAACTTCCTGCCCAGCTACTGGCCTGTCAGCTTTTTATTAACCAATGAGAGTAATCCATATTCATAGTGTAGAAAAGGATTGTTCCACAACACTGGGCAGTGCACTGGGGACAGCTGTGGGCAGTGCATGGGGGGGGGGCAGTGCATGGAGGACAGCTGTGGGTAGAGCACTGGGGGCAGCTGTGTGTGTGGTGGGGCAGCTGTGGGCCATGCACGGGGCAGCAGAGTGCAGGCATGCTGCTTCTCCTAGGCCCCCCTCCCTGGCAGGGGTGGACCATGAAAGCACCCTGCTTATTTTATTCTTTTGGGTTTTTTGAGATAGCTTCCTTCTACTGAAGCACCCATTTAGATCTCATTTTTCATTTTATTTTTTGGGGGACAGGGTCTTACTGTGTACCCCTGGCTGGCCTGAAACTCACTATGTAGATATGGTTGCCTCCACACAGATCCACTTGTCTCTCAGGTGCTAGGATTAAAGGTGTGGGCCACCATAGCTGTCTCGTTTCTAAATTTATTTACTCTTATTTCATTTTTTTTGTGACATGGTTATCTTGCTGCACAGCCCAGGCTGGCTTCAAACTTGTGCTCTTCCTGCCTTTACTTCCCAATGGTGTGAGCTTCCACGAAAATGAGTGCCTGTTTCCACAGAAATGAGCGCCTGCTACCAATCCTGGCTTGATACTGTTAGCCACGCCCTGCCCCTCATGGTCCGTAGTGTTACATGTTCCCTGAGCAGAGCTGAGGACTCTTCCCTGTAGAATCCCATCATGCTCTACCAGGCAAACTCCCCACCCTTCCCATCTATCCATCCTGTCCAGACACTGCCTTCCTGTCTGGTTCCTGGGCCTCGCTCAAGGCCAGAGAATAGCTTGCTGACTCCAGAGAGCCAACAAAGTGTTAGGAGAGCTCAAGTACCAAGCTACCTGAGACGCCCAGAGTCCTCGGGCAACTGAAGAACACCTATGGGGGGTGGGGGTTGGAGTGGGGGTGAGGGTGGGGGCCTCACAGCAGAGGCGGGCCTGCAGACCCTGCAGCAACATGCCTTCCCCAGAGCTGCTAGGGTTGGTGGTTCTGCACCTTGTCTGCACGAGACACAGGCATACAGCAAGTTCAGCTTTAATGGTGTCACTGATGCTAGCTTGCTGTCTGCCATGTCGGGGTTCCGCATGAAGTTATACCTAGTTGAGAATCAAGCGTTTCTAACGAGCCCTGAAGGGATATTTTCTCTTTGTGCAAACAGTCCTTTGTGCAGAGGGAATTCTGTGGCTTCTTGGCAGACACAGGTGGGAAACACTTCAGTGAACGCCACTCACTCCCTGCAGTTTAGAGCTATGCGCTGCATGTCAGCACAGCCAGCTCTGGGTGACAGGTGGCTTCTCTGCATGCTGTGCTGGGAACCCCTCCTTGGATGGCCTCACAGTATCTGACCCCTCAGTGTCCAGCACTAAATCCAGATGCAGTCTGTTTAGCTTCCTCCCAGAGGTCTGAGCTCCAGACTCACTCTGATCCCTGTTGTCTTAGTTAAAGAGTTTCTGTTGCTTGGATAAAACACCATGACCAAAAGCATCTTGGGGAGGAAAGGATTTATTTGATCTTACAACTCTCAGGTCACAGTCCATCACCAAAGGAAGTCAGGCCAGGAACTCAAGGCAGGAACCTGGAGGCAGCAACTGAAGCAGAGGCCATGGAGGAATGCTGTTTACTGGCTTGCTCCCCATGGCTTGCTCAGCCTGCTTCTTTATACAACTCAGGACCATCTGCCCAGAGTTGGCACCACCTGAGTCAATCATTAATCAAGAAAGTACCAGGCAGACTTGCCATATAAAGGCGTTTTCTCGATTTAAGAATTCTTTCCAAATGACCCTAGCTGTGTCAAGTTCACAAACAACAACAACAAAACCCAAAACCCCAACTAGCTGGCAAAAAGTTATCCAGGGAACAGAAGACAAGGCTACCAGGGTCACTTGTCCCAGAGGGGCCTAGCAGCAGCACAGCACTAGGCAGGTGCTGACTACCCTCGGGCTGGAGCGCTATCAACGGCCTCACTGAGGAGCTGCGAGTCCAGAAGGGGGTGGGCGTAGAGAGGTCCAAGGCAACATCTATTCAGGTGGCCACACCACGATGCCAGGGCTTGAGTCCCTGTGAGTCTACTGGGTCAGCTGCAGCAGCGAAGCTGCTAGGCATCTCTGCTGGAGCTCACAGACTACAGCAGCATCCAAACCTTAGACCGAGCTACCAAAGTTACCAAGCGGGAATTCTTAAGGCTACCCTATTTGCCAGATAGAGGGAATGTGGGGCAGGACTTGGGGCAGGTCCTCTGGAGTTCAGAGCCTTGCTCGTCAGCCACAGCATCTGCTAGGATCAGGTAAGGAACCATCTTTCCATCGCCTGGCTGCCCCCTTGAAATGCTAAGGACAATCATCTTGTGCCTGTGCTCCTGACTCAGAGACACCCAACAGGGAAGTTGGGTATGGAGGCGGACAGGTAATCTCATACTCAGGAGGCAGAAATAGAGGGATAGAATTCTAGGGCAGCCTTGGCTACATAGAAAAGCCAGATGGAAAGGATGTTATGACGGAATACACCAACCCAGAACCACCAATGAGCACAAGAAATGCCGCCACTATTTCCGGCACTCATTTTCCATGGCTGTGAGTAGTCTCCCGTGATGGAAAAGGATGTGGGCAGCCACCGGGAGGCAGATGAGTGGCTTCTGCCTCTCTCGGGTGACTGGTCTGGGGCTCTGCCTCTGCCTCCAGGAGCCCCTGGCTTGTTCTGAGAACACGCACAGTGCAGGCATGGGACCTCAGGTGCTGCTTCTGGGCGGCAGTTCTGTTCTGGGTGACTCCTTTGCTGCAACTGATAGGAAGCCGCTGTTTGCCCAGACACAGGGACCACTTTCATGGAGGCCTCATGGCTCAGCCAATGTGGACGATGCAATTTAAAATGACTCCCAAAGGAAACAAGAAAGAAAACAGCAAGTTTTGGGTTTGGGAAAGAAACTACAGGGTTGGATGTACACGGCCCCCATCATGCAGACCATGTACTGAGTACATGGGTACCCAGAGCATCCCATGTACAGATAGGCGCTGTGGTTCTTCCACATCCCACTCCCTCTGTGGTATGCCTTTTCCTGGGGAGACATGTACAAGCATCTATCCACCCCACACTGGACACAGATAGGAAAAGAAAGCGTCTCACCCGAGTCTGCCTTAGTGAACCAATGACTTCACTGGAGTTACCTGCAGAAGCGTAGGTGGCGCAAAGGCAGCTGAGATGACCCATGCCAGCACTGGGGACCTCTCCATCTGCAGGCATCTGCATGCCTGCAGCTCCCTGTCCAACCTGCAGGCAGCGCCACTGGAGAGTGCTCTCTCCCCAGTAACTGATACTGCTTCCTGTAGCTTTGGGGAGGGGCCTTGAGAGTCTTAGAATGAGTTCTGTGAGTCTCCTTCCTCAGAGGAGGAAGCAGCTATCTAGCCACGAGGCCATGGACAGAAGGGTCCCAGGAAACCCATGGCGCTGCCCACTGGCTGCCACCTCCAGGTGTGTGACAGGAAGGGGCGGGGAAAGTTCAGCAGAGCTAGGCTTCCTGAGGCAGCCATAGTGACCCACACAGGCTGGGAGATCATCTCCAAAGGTGCTGGGGAAAGGCAACTAAAGGGCAGCGCTGCACGGTGCTGCTGGGGTATCACACCACAGTCTGGGCACGGACAAGAACTGGGCTATCTTTCCCACTCATAAATGGGCTCCCCAATTTTCCTAAAACCCTGCCCCCCCACCACATACACAATCTTTGACCAGGTCTTTCTTCATAGCCCAAGATGGCCTGGGGTCAGATATCCACCTGCCTCTGTCTCCCGGGTGCTGGGATTAAAGTTCAGGCTCCGCCGCAACTTCTCTTAAGGGGCCACTGAAGCACTAGCCTGTGCCCTACAAAGCTGTCGGACTTCCTTTGTACCACCAGTTCCCAAATAAGGAAACAGAGACTTAATATTATGAAAGTCTGGCCTTATCTTAGGCTTGTTCCCAACTAGCTCTTATAACTTAAATTAACCCATTTATATTAATCTATGTTCTGCCATGTGGCTCGTTACTGCTCCATACTGAGGCTCGCTGGCTTAATCCCGCAAGCCTCAGATTCTTCCTCAGTTCCTCTTTCTCCCCGGAAGTCCCACCTATCCTCTCCTGCCTAGCTATTGGCCATTCAGCTCTTCATTAAACCCATCAGAAGGGGCCTTAGGCAGAGACACATCTTCACAGTGTACAGAAAGACTACCCCACAGCATGGACAGCTGGGACTGACTCTCCACTCCTGCCTTGGGCTCCCTGGGGATGGAGAGCGGCTGTGTAAGTCCCATCACTGTGACGGAATACCTGCACAGAAGCACCATCCGGCTTATGGTTTTGAGGGTACACAGTTCACGTGGTGAAGTGGTAGGTCACACTGCACTAGTCAGGAAGGGCAGTGGGAGGGACCCACTTCTTCCAGAGTCTCTCCCTCCTGAAGGTCCACAATCTTCCCAACTGGCACCACCATCTGGGTACCAAGCGTTCAGACACACGGGCTGATGGGGACAGTTCACACTGGGACTGTAAGAGGCACGCTCCAGCTTCTCCCTGCCCAAGACACACAGGAAGCTCGTGACATCCCCCCTCTCCCTTTCATTTGTCCGTCTTTCTCCCTCCTCTCCTCCCTTAGAAACTCTGGAAGAGGGTAGGGAGAGGCCAAGGCACCCCACCCTTTACCTTGAGAAACTTGGGGCCTTGTCCAAACTTCAGATGCTCAAAGCTACAGGGCCTAATATTTAGGGACTTGGTATCAGAACTTAAACAGGGTAACACAAACAGGACACTTGGGACAGGGTGTCAGGTCCCCTGGGGGAGTCTGGGAGAGGGATGAGCAGTGTGTCTTGCTAGTACTCTAGCAGGGACTTTCTTCCAAGAGTGAAGAGGCCTGTGCCTATGGTCAAGGGCTGCTTTGGTGCCCAGGGTCAGACCGCTCATAGATCTAAACGCTTCTGCCTATGTGTATCAAGTTGGCCCGCCCTGTCTCTAGGGACTCCAGGACAGTCAGCCCTGTCACAGACCTCTGCTGGTCAGATTCTGCTGAGGGCAGCTCCCGATTCATAGCCTATTGAAGGAAGCATTCCCGCCTGTCCTTGGCAACTAAGTGCCACCTTTTATACATTGGCAGCTTAGATCCCCACTGCATTTAGAAATTCCAAGCTGGGGCTGCAGTTGCTGTGGTAACATCTCATGGCTTCAGTTGAAGCCATACCTTTCACAGGCATACAGAGAGAAGCAACCATGAAGCCCTCTGAAGATGCTGGGCTCCCCTGGCAACTGCCCCCTCAGTGTGGGGCAAAAGGAACATCCTCCCAACCCACCTGAAGAAGGTCATGTTCCCATCTCCCAACCATTTCCTCTTCCAACTGGGCTTCTTCGCTTCCCATTATGGACACCCCTTGGACTGTGTTTAACCAACCTGGCACCGACCCAACTGAGCCTTCTCTGGCCCTGGAGCTGTGACACCAAGCCATAGTTTTTGCTGCATATATCTGACCCGGACCACACACTCCTTTGCTGTCTTCCCACATGTGCCCCAAGCTTGGGGACATCAGGCTGTGGCACAGACACATTTGGCCTCGGCAGGCTATGTGTAGAGTTTGGTCATAGACCAGAGCCCCAGAGTGGAGTTGGGACTCTTAAGGTCAGCAGTGCCTGGCAGGGCAGCACTGGGGTGCTCCAGCTCTTCAGGGTACAGGATTCTTCTAAAGGAGGGTCCAAGGTCCCCCTCCTCAGCTGCGTCCTCACCTTTGCGGTCTACAATGCCCAACCTGTCGACACTACCTCAGAGGCAGCTCACCAGTCAGCCACATGCTCAAAGAGGCTTTGGGCCCTCACTCCTAAGTAAGGCCATGTTCCTTATGGCTGTGCTTGTGCCCTGGGTACTAGAGAGGGCTCTGGCTTGTGGCCTGTCTCAGTTGGTTTCTGGGCTGTCCCCTTTACCTTATCCCTTCAGAGGCTAGCGCCTCCTCTCTCGGTCTTCTGTCTGGCTTGCACTGCATCCCACAGTGCCTCCTTCCCTAGCCACTCGGTCACCCCATCAACCCACTCCCACCTCCCTTTAGGGAGCTCAGTTTCATCCTTTCCTCATCCTGGCCTTGGATGTCAGGAGTTCCTGACCATTTCTGGGACAATAAGCCAGGGGGATGTGGCGGACAGCCACTGTGGGATTGACAGCCTCCCAAGGCCAAGCCCTGAGTACCTGCACCCAGAACTGCCTGCTTAAAGTAAGACGGATGACGGGCCTGCTTGGGATCTGACTACTCTGACTCTAAGGGGAGAACACAGGGATATCTCCATGGACAGTTCCCACCTTGAGCCTTCGGGTCGGCAATGGGAAATTTATTGTCAAATATGTTCAGGCTGGCCATCCTACCAGGTCCAAGCTATGCCTCTTACCAAGCTACAGGGCCAGGTGTCTATCATCATCAGGTACTGTCATCTGAATGACATGTCACAAAAGGAACGGAGAACCTTTGGAAGAAAGTGGCTTCCACAGACCTTTGGCCACCATTTGCTGTCCTCAGAGGCCCTGAGGACTTTCCACAGGGCCAGGTCAAGACTGGAGTAAGACAGCAGCGTCCGACAGCTAGGTCACGGGCAGGGGTAGAGTGACCAGATGCTGATACGCTGGTCCTTGGACCCCGCAGCAAGCAAGCCATCGGTGGCGAAGGCCACGCAGTACACAGAGGCGCTGTGGAAGGCCAGAACAGCCAGTGGCTTCATTGTCCTCCAGTGAAACACACGGATGCGATGGTCCCAGCCTGCTGTGGCTAAGATCTTGTGGTCTGGCCGGAGGGTGACTTCGGCAATCCCAGGATTGGTGAGTTCCTGAGTCTTGTACACCTGTAAGCGGACAGGGAAAGAAGAAGAATTAGGCTGCCCTTGGGTCTGCTGCAGTCCTTGGCCACAAATATCCCTTCCCTGGCCCTACTCTGCCATAGGCTCTGTGACAGCTACTCATTCTTGTCCATCTGGCCTCTTCCTCAACCCCAAGATCATAGCAGGGGCTTCCCTAAGCAAATACAAGGCCACGGGGCTATGCTGTGCCCCTCCGCAGGCTGCTTAGACAATTCTAGCCCTGGAGGAACCTGGGAGGCCAGGTCCTGGGTTCTCAGTGCGGAGGAGCTAGCACAGTCAACATTTCTCCTGGAGGAACCTCCACTGAAGGTTGTGGAATGTGGGTGATGCAAATTCCATCAACAGTCACACCGAGTCAAATGAGACCCCGAAACAGTGAAGGGGTTCTTGGACTGCCCAGAGAAGGGAGTGGCAGAGTGGACAGGGTGTTGTGGCTTGACTGTGTCCCTCAAGAAGTCACAGTCAGAAACCCAATTCTCAAACTCACCTATTAGTGCTATCTAAGGTAGGTTATTTGGCAGGGAAGTAGGGATATGTGAGATGACGAGGCCTATTAGTGGCTTTCTCGGAGGAGGAGACCTGTTCTGTCTTGTCTAGGGATAGTCCCCATGTTATGACTGGAACTCAGCAGACGCAGGCTTTTGAGCATCCTGGACTTCAGCATCACTAGCCAAATACACTCATTTTTAAATAACAATTTTATTTTTATTTTATGTATTTGAGTGTTTTACCTGCACATATAATCTGTGTACTATGTGTGTGTAGGGCCCACAGAGGCCAGAAGAGGGCATCGGATCCCCTAGGACAGGAGCTACAGAGAGCTGCCATATGGTACTAAGAATTGAACTTGGGCCCTTTGCAAGAACAGCTAGTACTCTTAACCACTGAGCCATCTCTCTGGCCCTAAACCTCTATTCTTTAGACACTACCCAGGCTTAGCAGTCTCAGGCATTTTGTAATAGAAAATGGAGTAAGGTGCAGGGAGAGGGAAACAGCACTGGAGGAGGAAGAAGGAATCCAGATGTGCTCCTCACTGGCTATGGACCCCGTTTCTCTGGCTCTGCCGTCAGTGCGGTCTATTCCTCTGTATACTCTCCGCAGTGCCATTCATCACTGCGCCCTGCCAAATGCAAGACCAATGCGGCCACCCACACTTTAAACCCAGAACTTCAAGTTAAATAAAAAATTCCTTTATAAGTTAGCCTGCCTCAGGTTCTTTGCTACAGTAATGAAGGCAGCCCTCTTGTTACACAGGCCTACCCTGTACTCTAAAGGCCACTTGACAGCTCTGTTCCTGTGAGCGGCCTGCCTCTGAGCCACAAGCTTTCTGTTAGTCTCTTTGTCTTCAGTGCCTTCTTGCAGGAACACATCTCCCTTTGTAGACAACGTTTCATCTCCACAAAGATGACAAGGAGGCTGGGCATGGTGGCCCGGGCCTTTAATCCTAGCACTCTGGAGGAAGAGGGACAGGTGGTCTCTGTGAGTCTGAAGCCAGGCTGGTCTACAGAGTGAGATTTTACTTTAAAATGGGAGGAAGGAAGGAGACACAAGGAAAAACGAATGACAGTACTCATGGGAGTGAGCAGAAATGGTCACAGAGCAACTGACCTACAAATGAACAAAACACAACCCGATGAAGTAGGCTCTTCTTAAAGCTCACTGCGGGACTTGGCAGGGCTCAGGATGGAGGACGAAAAGGATGATAAAGGGAATGAGCACCAATGGAGACCTTGAATGAGGTAGGATGGGGCTCAGGAGGGCAGGAAGATCAGAAAATAAACCAAGTGAGCACAAAACAGTTACAATGAACCAGAGAAAACATGGAGGGCAACAGAAGAGCGCTCAAAAGTAAGATATGCTCTAAAATTATTAGGGCTAAGAGTGAAGAGAGACCTTCCAATAACCAGGCAAAAAAAAAAATCACATGGGAGATGAGGGCACAGCAGAAGCTGTCACCAGGAAGTTCCAGGGCTACATGTGTGCCAGCAGAGAGCGGAGCAATGCTCATACAGGCAGAGGGGGAACATGGTCCAAGAGTTTTATATCCAGCCAAACTGTCACTCAACTGTGAAAACAGTAGACAAACATTTTTGAACATGTAAGAGCTGAAAGAATATTGCTCCTGTAAGTCCTTCTGGAAGAACAAGAAGATTATCTCCAGCCTTGCAGGAGATGGCTAGAGGACTATAGTGAACGGTCTGGCAGACAGCACTCATCTACTCACCTACAGGATTGGGTCCAAGACATGGGGATTATGGCTAGGAGAACCAGTTACGTAACTAACAGAAGCATGGGCGGTGATGAGAAAGATGGGGTGCTGCTGAGGACTTGCTCATTGTTTGACCTTACATCTGAGATTATCTGACCCCCACCATAAGTGATGGCAACTCCGCACATTCTTTCTCCTCTTCCACCTGAGAAGAGATGCCTTGGTTTTCTGGTATTTGCTTTGCATATCTGTATATGATAATACCAAAGCAATAAAAGTATAAATATTCTCTGACTTTAAAGATTAAATTCCATCCAAAGTTAAATCAAATCTGAACTATGTGCAGAAGAACCTCAAAGAGCCAAGCATCAGATAAGCCAGGCACGAGTGAGAGAAGCTGGAGAATCATTTGGGTTCCAGACTCAAGACAATAAGTAAGATAAAACTTGGTACCAGCACTGATCAAAGGTACAGTTCACACTCAGGAGTTGTGACTGCATCCAGCAAACAGGCTCATCTTTCATAAAGTGGTTACAATACAGTGCCCAATGCCTAACTAGTCATCTTGTTGGAAACAATCATGAAAGGGAACAAAACACACAAGGTAATTGTTGACAGGTCCTGGACAGCAGGCAGGGTGGGGCCCTGGCATTCTCTGCCTGGGGACAAAATCTAGCTAGAATATAATAGTCACATTAAGTTGAGGAGACAAATAAAAATCTGGGGCAGCTAGAAGGCTGAGATCTGTGAGGTTGAGGTGGTGGAATGAAGGGAGTCGTGATGTTTTGGGGACTGAGGACTAGATGTGTGTTCCCTAGAAGACCTTGTTTGAGGTCTAGGCTCTGTATGTCATCACAGCAGATGACAGGTTTACCAGAGAGAGGCTGTGGCAGGGTGAGAGGTCAACAGTGAGAGCTAAAGACGGGCTGAGCCACAAGGCCTCACATCAGAAATAATGACCCAACCTAGGAGTGCAGCCTTCTCTAGATATCTAACAAAGTGAGAAGCCAGGCCTGGCAGAGTCTAAGGGGATCTGGGGTTTCAATGCCACCACAATGAAGGCGGCTGAGATGGCTTTTCCACAAACCTGCCCCAATGCAGCATGAAGCCATGTCCACACAAGTCCAATGTGACCAGCCAGACACTAAACACCAGAGAAGAGGCAAATGAGCATCAGCACAAAATAACAGAATCCAGTGTCTTCAACACACACATTTACAATGTCTACCACATTAGCAGTACTTACTAGACACAGAAAGGCAGAACTACATGTTCCACAATCAAGGGAAAATCCCGTCAGTAGAAACTGATCCCCCAAACGGTGCAGGTACCAAACATATCAAAGAAAGATGTCTATGAAAGGAAAAGGGCCGTGCAGATGGTGCCAAGTGTGACAACCTGAGTGTGAATCTTTGGGACCCATGGAAAACCCAGGAAGGCAGGGCAGCCACTGGGAAGGTGGAGCAGCCTACCTGTAATCCCAGTATTTGGGAGGCAGAGACAGAGGATTTTGGGCCAGCTGGCTGGCTAGTCTAGTTAGAACTGGGGAGCTCTGGGTTCAGCAACAGTGGAAATTATCAAGGAGGTCACTCAATGTCAACTTTAGGGCTGCAAACACATGTGCATGCTCATATATGAACACACGTGTCCATACACATGTGAACAAGCATACACAAACACATGCTCACTACACACACAAAAAAAACCTAAAGAAAAATAAGTCAAGATAATTATAAAATTATTTATACGAATTAAGCAGATAGGAATTATTAGTACAGAGTAAAAATTATAAAAAGAATAAAAATACAGAACTGAAAATATCAATTAGAATAAAATGGACGGGACAGGGCTAATAACAGAGTAGAAATTTTTTATAAAAAAGTGAACTGGGCCAATGAGCTGGTTCAGAGAGCGAAGGTGCTTGCTACCAAGCCTATGATCCTTGGGACCCACAGGTAGGAGAAAACCTACTCTTGCAAGCTGTCCTCTGACTTCTGCATGTTCACAGTGCACACGCACAGCACACAAGCACACAAAATAAATAAAAAATGTCTTCTTCCAGATAAAGGGGTTAAACTCTGGATAGGACCTGGGCCTACAGGAAAGTGCCAGAGGTGGCAGCTGCTGATAAATATCAGACACTCTGTGTGTGAGTGCGTGTGTGGACGTGTGATGTCTGTGGTGGGGCAGGGATGCTTAGCAGGAAGAGCGCACTGGCTGCTCCTGAGCACCCACCTGGTGGCTCACAGCCACTTGTGATTCCAGCTCCAGGGGATCCAATACCTTCTTCTGGGCTCCGCTGGCACTTGTGTACAAGGAATACACTCATAGGCAACACAGAAACAAAAACTAAAAAATAAACTTAAAAAATACTGTATTTCGCCGGGCGGTGGTGGCGCACGCCTTTAATCCCAGCACTCGGGAGGCAGAGCCAGGCGGATCTCTGTGAGTTCGAGGCCAGCCTGGACTACCAAGTGAGTTCCAGGAAAGGCGCAAAGCTACACAGAGAAACCCTGTCTCGAAAAACCAAAAAAAAAAAAAAAATACTGTATTTCAAAGTTAAAAAAAAAACTGTTTAAAGCAAAATTAATATAAGACGGATGCATGCAGAAGCCCAGGTGATAGCAGCGACAGACCTCACGGCGCATGTCTGAGAACACAGGTGCAGAGGTACTGGATCAGCATGGACAAACAGAAGACGAGCAGCAGAGGGTTAAGGACGGGGCAGCCAGAGGACCGGGAATTCTCCCGACCAGAACACCAAGACAAATGCACC